ATTTTTGCGGCCATTGCACGATTGGCGTCATCTCAAGTTGTAAAGCCTAAACGGACAATTTTCAACATTTTGTTGGTGGGTCAGGTTTGATGGAGACACCAATGAACGAAGGGTAAGCTGTGCCATTGAAGAGTTCGCAAGCTTTGTTGGTTTTTTCTTTGAAGGATTTATTCGGAAGAAAGGTTTCTGCGGCGCAGTATATGTAGAAAGTGGTCGCATCTCGAACTCTTTCAAAAGTAATGGTGTTTCTGCTAGCAGTTTTTTCGTTTAATAGATTTCTGAGGCGTCAAACGCTTGGTCTTCGTCCATTTTATTATTATCATACAAGATCAAAGTACCTCGGTTGGAAAAATTTTTGTGGATTATTTTCTTTTAAAAAAGAAATCAAAATGTTTTTAACCTGTCTTTTGTAATAATTTCGTTGAGAGATTTTTTAACTAATTTGCGAGGAATGCTAATCCCAAAGCGATGGTTGACTAATTGATTAGGCAAGTAAAAAATCACGAATTCTGAACTGATTGCCTTTCAGTTTCGATTGACAATTTTTGAGAATTTTCTTCATCATGGTTTACGCAAACGATAAGCATCCCGCATTTTGTATCACAGTAATTTGTTTTAAAGTTTTAAAAGGGGTTTTAGTTTAGGTAAAAAACTTGGCAATTCTGATTATTATTGATTATAAAAAAACTATTCTTCACTATTTTCATTTTCTTCTTCCTGTTTTGATTTTTTAGTGAAGTAGAAGTAAGCTCCGGCTCCAAGACCTAGTAATACAAAAGCACCCAAATAGTAGCCTCAATAACTACCCATATGAGCTCCAAAACCAGTTTGAGTTTGTTGACTTTCAATTTTGGCTACCAGTTCAGATTAGAAAGATTCAAGTTTTTAGTATTGGATGCCAAGGCTTGCAACATTGCTTCTAGGCTTTCTTTTTTCTCAATTTCTGGATATTTTTCTACGAGTTCTTTATCTTTGTTAATAAGTTTTTTTATCAGATTTTTCTCATTATATTTATGCTTTTTAGTTTCTTCATCTTGTCCACCAGTTTGTCCACCAGTATCTTTGCCATTTTCAGGTTTTTTCTCTTCAGGTAATTTTTCGCCTTTCACTATTTTTAGAGTGGTTTTTAGTTTTTCTAATTTTTCCTTAGCCTCTGCATTACTTTCTCAGATGGTTTTATTTTGTCCTCCATTAGCCCAAGCATTACCTAGAAAATTTTTGTAATCAGTAATCGCATCTTCGAGTTTGCTAATACTTTCTTTATCTTTCTTTTCATCCCCAGTTTTAGTTAGTTCAGTTAAACCTTTATATTTAACAATTTGGGAAGTCAGACCTTGGTTTTGGTTTTGGTTTTGGTCTTTATAATCTTCTGCTTTTTCTAATCTTTCTTGCTCGGCAATTACTTGAGGTAAACTTTTACCGTTAACCCCACTTATCTTGCTACTATCCATGTTTAATATTTGTTGATAAGCTACTGAATTAGCATTTTGTCTTGATTTGAGCCTATAAAGTTCAGTCCTTTTTAATGAACCTAAGGAAGCTGCTCTCATGTCAGTAAGGATTTTCTGAGCATCTTCAACAAAGTCTACACAATTAATAGCTCCGTTTCCATTGAAAAGAAATTTCTCCTCAGTCGTCAAACTTGTACTCACATCATGATTGTTACCATCTCTGTTAAGAGCTCGTGCTCTAGTTAATGTCAATATAGCTCTATCAGCACGATTAGCAGCTACTGGAGAAGTTCTCAGTCCAGCTGGAGCATTACCTCCGTTAGTTGCATTATAATCCCCAGGGATCGATGTTTCACTATCCTTTGGTTTGAGGATAAGAGAAGGACCAGTAGTTGTATTTGGTGTAGCGTGTTCTATAGGAAACCAGACAGAAGTATCGTTTGTAATATCTATTGTATATTTGTTTTTATTTCTATTATTAATTTCTGCAAGTTCTGCTGCTGCTTGCTGGTTTACGCTCATATCACCAGCTGAAAAAATGTTGGTAGTAGTTACAACGTTAGACAGTTCAGCTGGAGTTTCTGGAGTTTGGGCGGACCTGCCAGTCATTGTTTTCTTCTGGGGAGGTTCATCTTTATTTTTAGTTGAGGAGTCAGGGTGCGTACGCAAGTTGCGGTTATTGTTTTGTGAAAATTTTTGATTTTTTCTTTTCCCATTTTTTTGGTTTTTGGAGAGAGAGGGAAAAGTTTTTTTTTGATATGCAAAAATGATCTACAAGGCTAGAAGAATGATCAATTTCGTGTTATATAAAAAATGATTTGCAGTACTGTAACTAAATTAGATAATTAAATGATTTACATGTCTTATTTCCTAAATTTGGTAGTCTA